ACCTCAGGCAAAAGATCGTCTTTAGATTCTAGAGGACTTAGAACAACTTCTTTGATAACTAGAGCTACCATTATACCAAACTCTTTTCTCTCTTTCTCAAATTCTCTATGGGTCAAGATGTGAAGGTCTTTCTTGTGAATAACTGGGGAAGATGACCTATGCTTTGAAGTATTACTTTCTGAGGGTTTCACAGGTTTTAACTTAATGGTTTTCCCTTATGCTTAAAAACATAGGTATTTTTCCTCCCATAGTTTGTCATATCTAGATCAAAAAGCCACGGGCGACCCAACAAGACATGAGCGACATCCATAGGTAAGACATCACACTATATATGATCTGAATAGTCACCCATCTGAATAGGGACCAAACATCTATGTAAGACTGGTAAGGAGGTCTTGTCAACCCATGCGACTTTATAAGGTTGTGGGTGTGTCTCTGACTTAAGCTGCAACTGAGCTACAACTGATTTAGAGATTACATTCAATGAACTTCCCCCATCAATGACGGCCTTGCAAACTTGACCCCCGCATCAAACTAGAGTATGAAAAATGCTGGTGCATTTTCCATGCTATTGTGTTTGAAGGGGTGGATAAGATACATCGCATCACACTAACATGGGTGTCATCGGTTTGCCACTCTTCCTCACCCTCATCTAGTAACTCTAAGGGTTCCTCATCCAAAGGATCTCTGTCAAGTGAATTCTATAATCCCTGGTCAATGGTCAAGGTATGCTGAGGGTACTGTGAAGCAATATGACCCTTGCCATGACAACGATGACACTCTATGGAAGAACTATCCTAACGAGAACCTGTGAGTGTAGAATCTCGTCCCCTAGTGGTATTACCTCTCAAGTTGGGGTAATTATTACCCCTGGATGTGACAGGGCCTAATTGGGTGACGCCTCGAGACTGATCAAATGGAACTGACCTTGATGGTTGAGATTCTTCGGTTTGAGAAGGCTTTCGACGCTAAAAGGTTGGCCTAAGGTATTGCTCAATCTCTAAGGCTTTATAATATGCTTCCTCAACCGTTTCAGGAGAGTGTAAGTTAAGCTCTCTCTTAATCTCTAGTCGAAAGTCATTAATGAATTTTGTAACTATTACCCAAAACTCTTCCTTTATGTCACATCTCAGAAAAAGCTCTTCAAATCGAGCTAGGTAATCAGTCACACTCAAGGTCAATTGATACAAGTTCATCCACTTGTCCAAGAGTTGGCGCTTATAGTAACTAGGGAGATATTTATCTCGCAATCTTTGTTTCATCTCAGCCCATAAAGTAATAGGTTGTCCCTTTAGGCGCTCTTGGTCTCGTTGGACTCCCTGCCAATATCTCTTAGCCGAACCAACGAGTTTCATTTTGGCAAAATGAACCCGATGGTTGTTGGACATATCATACTAATCAAAATAGTCATCCATGTCATCTAACCAATCTAAGAAAAACAACATGATCTAACCTACCATCAAAGCTAGGAGCGTCCACTTTGACTCTTTGTGTGATATCCCTAGATTCTTCGTGGACATGCCTATGTTGTGGATTATGGTAACGCGGAGGGGGAGACCTATAGTATCTGGCACGTGGGCGAAAGGGCTCACGATAACCATCCATATCACCCTCTGCTTAATAATCAGACATGACTACCTCAGCGAGATCCTCCTGAACATTCGTACGACCTATATTTCGTCCAAAAGTGGTATTAGGCGGTGTCTTCCTATCTGGACGTTGTATTCGGCTCCCCTGAGCTACTCGCGGAGTGGGTAGGACACCTTGACATGAGTCAGTAGGATGTATCGGGAGAGGCAGGTGCCGAACATTGGGTACTTGGTTANGATTTCTCTTAATCTCTAGTCGAAAGTCATTAATGAATTTTGTAACTATTACCCAAAACTCTTCCTTTATGTCACATCTCAGAAAAAGCTCTTCAAATCGAGCTAGGTAATCAGTCACACTCAAGGTCAATTGATGCAAGTTCATCCACTTGTCCAAGAGTTGGCGCTTATAGTAACTAGGGAGATATTTATCTCGCAATCTTTGTTTCATCTCAGCCCATAAAGTAATAGGTTGTCCCTTTAGGCGCTCTTGGTCTCGTTGGACTCCCTGCCAATATCTCTTAGCCGAACCAACGAGTTTCATTTTGGCAAAATGAACCCGATGGTTGTTGGACATATCATACTAATCAAAATAGTCATCCATGTCATCTAACCAATCTAAGAAAAGCAACATGATCTAACCTACCATCAAAGCTAGGAGCGTCCACTTTGACTCTTTGTGTGATATCCCTAGATTCTTCGTGGACATGCCTATGTTGTGGATTATGGTAACGCGGAGGGGGAGACCTATAGTATCTGGCACGTGGGCGAAAGGGCTCACGATAACCATCCATATCACCCTCTGCTTAATAATCAGACATGACTACCTCAGCGAGATCCTCCTGAACATTCGTACGACCTATATTTCGTCCAAAAGTGGTATTAGGCGGTGTCTTCCTATCTGGATGCTGTATTCGGCTCCCCTGAGCTACTTGCGGAGTGGGTAGGACACCTTGACATGAGTCGGTAGGATGTATCGGGAGAGGTAGGTGCCGAACATTGGGTACTTGGTTAGGCTTAGGTGAAACTTGTGAGTCACTCTGGTCATTGTCTATTGGTCATTTTGCCATAAACTTAGTCAATTGGGCTAGTTAAGGAGTAACTTGAGAAAGTTGTTGCCCCATTCCTTTAACTTCCTCACGTAACAAGTCGACTGATTATTTAGTATCGGTCATATCAATGGTGAGGGTCTCAAATTTTTGTTCTAATGCAGTATGGGATTCTGAAGCTCACGAAGGGTCATAGTGAATGTAATGTAAAATTTGGGCTAATGTAAATGGCCGACTAGACTAAAAACTTAAACCAAGTAATAAAAATTATAAAATAATGCAAATGGTCACACATAAGAACAAACTTATTGTAAAGAGGCTTAAATAAACATGAGACAAGCAACAATGAATTTAACAAGAAATTGAGTAAGCTAAGTTATGAAGGTGGTGTGTGGGAACAACAAACAAAGAAGGTTATGAAGGTGGTATGCGGGAACAACAAACAAAGAAAGTTTAGGTTTTTTTTTGGTTTGACTTACCAACAAATATAAATACTAGTCACCAATTCTCAACAAAAAAAACTCGTACCTGCTGTTAGATGCAACTCCAATAGGATGCTTGACAAGTTAGGGGATGNCAAAAAGAACTCATACCTGCTGTTAGATGCAACTCCAATAGGATGCTTGACAAGTTAGGGGATGATCCTACAAACTGTAGAACTTTTTGGGGTGTTTTTGTAATTTTTAGAACTTCTGGGGTGATGTTTCTATAATTTTTTGAACTTGTTGGGACGTTTCTGCAATACTGAAATTTCTGGATGATACTTCTATAATTTACTAGACTTCTGGGGTGATTCTGTAACTTTCGAGAACTTCTGGAGAGGTTCCTGTAATTCTAGAGCTTTATGGGGGTGAAAGGATTAAAACCAATGTCTTATTCCTTAACACGATGGAACGAGGAAGAAGACATGCAACGATGAAGTCGAAGCAGCACAGGTCAACGACGAAAACATGTGCAATGAACAGTAACAACGATGAACAGTGCATAATTAATTATTTATTTTTTTTATGGGACGAGACCAGAATAGTGCGCACGATAAATTTTATTTATTTATTTATTTTTTGATTTTTTTTATGGAACGAGACCAGAATAGTGTGCGATGAACAATGTGCACGATGAAATTATTTTATTTTATTTTTTTCTAGAACAAGAATGATGAACAGTAAGAATCTGCCAAAGTTTTTTTTTTTTTTTACTTGGACAACCGGTGAACAGTGATTTTGCATGAACAGTTTTTTTTTTTGATGAACGGTGTTGTTGAGATTTTTTGTGATTTGTATGAATCAAAATTAGGCTCTGATAACTAATTGATGTAGATCATAATAGAGAAGAATTAGGGATGAGAAGGGAAGAAGAAATAGATGAGAAAAGAAGAAGAAGGAGATGAGAATAGAGAGAATTTTAGAAAGAAGATTCAATATCAATAATCAATAATCAAAGTCTATCAAAACAAATAGCATAACTCCTATATATATAGGGAGACCACAAATCCTAAAAGAACTCTAAAAGAAATAAATAGTTATAATGACAACTAAACCCCTAAAAAGCATAATGACAAATAACTCCTAATCTTTACGCCTACGCCTACTATAACGAAATATAATCTGATTCCTATCAGGTCATAGCTAGCATACACCACAAAAAGCCAAAAAACCTCAGATTCTTTAAAAGAGAATTCAACGCTCAAAACTTGTTCATGAGCAAACAAAACTTTTATCTTGACCCTATCATCCCACAATAACCATATATTCCTCTCAACAAGACTATTAAAACAGAAATAAGCTAGATCAATGCTCCCTGCAAAAGCTGTCATTTTAGAAACTAACAGCTTTGGTTTCTACACTGCAACCAAACAAACATCATTCATTTTAATCATTTTTATTCAGCCTTCTTCTTTTATGAGCCTTTCTTGCTCCTCTCATATTCCATGAAATTAGATTAATCATGAATGACTTACAGAGAAATTCACACTAGAATTAACTCTAGTACCTTCATCTGCCTCATTAAAAGAACTATCAGTATCTAGAGTATGGGAACTACCCTGATCTGAATAATAACCTTTATCAAGAGGTATTCTCTCATTCACCAAACCAAATTGATCATCCAATGAACCAACATATCCTTGTCTAACACCAAACTGGTAGTCCACCAAAAAAAAAAAAGAACTCATGGATGGAGCCAGCACAACTCTGCATTCCCCCAAGTTCTCCACATCAACATTATTTACCACATTATTCTCCCTTTCACACTTCATAATAGAAGAATCCATAGCCCCCAAAATCTCAATATCAATACATTCATTCTCCTTATTAATAACAACATCAGCATTATTATTTAACAAAATGATAGGAGAAGAAGAAATTACCTCTTCATTATTTAAGGCCTTGACTTCAGCAACTACCTCATTCAAATTCCTCTCCAGCTCCACATGCATTGTCTCTGTCATAACATCAACTTTTGAAAATACTTGATTCTTTGGTACAACATTCACTTGAGTAGCTTGAGAAGCCCCAGAGCGAACCAACTCAGGTTGTTCCTCAATATAAATAGGAGAATTCAACATACCAGACTTCTGATTTACCATCACATCACCATCAAAATCCACAACTTCATTCACCTCATTTAAAACAACAAAAGTATTATCTATTACTGGGGTCTGGACCATAGTTCTCTACCTATACTCCTTCCTTGGAATAACTCTTTGCACATCACTAGCAACAACTTTCCCTTTCACATTCTTCCACCCATCATCAAGACCAGGGCCATTCACAGTAACAGTGAGCTTCTTAGATACACCAACTACCTCTTCTTTCTATATAGAGACATCATGTCCCTGCTTAAGACAAGCAGGACAATATTTGTACTCCTTTTCNATGAGCCTTTCTTGCTCCTCTCATATTCCATGAAATTAGATTAATCATGAATGACTTACAGAGAAATTCACACTAGAATTAACTCTAGTACCTTCATCTGCCTCATTAAAAGAACTATCAGTATCTAGAGTATGGGAACTACCCTGATCTGAATAATAACCTTTATCAAGAGGTATTCTCTCATTCACCAAACCAAATTGATCATCCAATGAACCAACATATCCTTGTCTAACACCAAACTGGTAGTCCACCAAAAAAAAAAAAGAACTCATGGATGGAGCCAGCACAACTCTGCATTCCCCCAAGTTCTCCACATCAACATTATTTACCACATTATTCTCCCTTTCACACTTCATAATAGAAGAATCCATAGCCCCCAAAATCTCAATATCAATACATTCATTCTCCTTATTAATAACAACATCAGCATTATTATTTAACAAAATGATAGGAGAAGAAGAAATTACCTCTTCATTATTTAAGGCCTTGACTTCAGCAACTACCTCATTCAAATTCCTCTCCAGCTCCACATGCATTGTCTCTGTCATAACATCAACTTTTGAAAATACTTGATTCTTTGGTACAACATTCACTTGAGTAGCTTGAGAAGCCCCAGAGCGAACCAACTCAGGTTGTTCCTCAATATAAATAGGAGAATTCAACATACCAGACTTCTGATTTACCATCACATCACCATCAAAATCCACAACTTCATTCACCTCATTTAAAACAACAAAAGTATTATCTATTACTGGGGTCTGGACCATAGTTCTCTACCTATACTCCTTCCTTGGAATAACTCTTTGCACATCACTAGCAACAACTTTCCCTTTCACATTCTTCCACCCATCATCAAGACCAGGGCCATTCACAGTAACAGTGAGCTTCTTAGATACACCAACTACCTCTTCTTTCTATATAGAGACATCATGTCCCTGCTTAAGACAAGCAGGACAATATTTGTACTCCTTTTCATAAACTATCTTTTGCCATCTCCCACGTACTCCCCCCATGTCCAACCAGAATCTTTTGGGATTGCTAGCCAAAAGATTCATCTCCACACATGCTCTAGCAACTCCAGGTCTATGGAACTACAAAGTGGCATTATCAATCACTATGATTCTACATATGGGACTAAGAATATCATGTCAACTCCCTTTATTAAAGAGGTGGATAGGTAATCCTGGCAACAAAACCAAAATAGGGACAATAGGTGGTTCAATCCCAGGGTGACACTATGGGAACCATTTAAAGAAACGAAATAGAAAGCCTTTAATGTAAGTCATGTCCTTCAACTAGGTTTTTAAATAATCTTCATAAAGATTAAATCTAATCAACACTTGCCTAGTCTAATCGTAGTTACTAAATTTTAACATTTCATCTAATAAAAATATTACACGTCTAATAATTTTTATTAATTTATTAATTTGTTAATCAACAATCAAAAACCATTCAATTCAAAATTAATGATTGACAATAAAGTTTGGCATGGTACCTCGGAGTTACAGTTGTTGGAACGGTAGTCCCAAAAATTATTGATGGCAAGTATAATTGATTACAAAAACTTATTTATTTATTAACCATACTAAGGCGAAATTATGATTTACCTTTTGAAGCGTGAACAACATGAACAAAGATTGACACAAATTGAATAGCTGGCTCGATGAACCTCACGATATTCTATCATATGTTTTTTTCACGCCAAAATTTGAATTGAATATGGACTACAATCCTTTGAATTTTCTTGGCCCTTTGATACGAATCCATTTGATTGCACCATATAGATGCACTATTAAGATTCCCGCTAAGCAATGCTGTCTTGACATCCATTTGAAAAATCTTGTAATCGAGATGAGGTGCAATGGATAAGAGAATCCAAATCGACTTTAGCATAGCTACCGATGAAAAAGTCTCCTCATAATCGATTCTCTCTTTCTAAGTAAACCCTTTTGCAACAATCTTAACTTAAAGGTTTCCACCTTACCATCTGATCCTCCCTTTCTCTTATAGACCCATTTGCATCCAATGAGTTTTATCCCATTGGGTGGTTCTACAAGTTCCCAAACTTGATTGGAGTACATGGACTCCATCTCAGACATCATAGCCTTTTGCCAAAGTTCTACATCTTTATCTTGGAGTGTTTCGTTGTAGGTCTAGGGTTTGACATTTTTTTCCTCAGAGATATTGTCAAAAGAATCTCCTAAAAACATATACCGTTGAGTTAACGAATAACCCTCCCACTATAGTGAGGCACTACCTATATTTGTGTATCATTAGTGACATGTTTTGCAACATTCTTATCTGACTATTATGGTACCTAATGAGTGAGTTTTATACGTACGAATTGAGTATTATTGGCTTGATGAAATTACAAGTTTCCAAATACTTATGTTCCTTTTTATTTGTTTTGTGTGTTTTAATGTTGTTTTGTAGGGATCAGGATTTGGAAGGAAGTAAGGTCATTTGGCAGCCTAAGTTTTGGATTAATTACGAACTGAGCAACAAAGGCAGCCATGCGCATAAAAGGGAATCAGCGTTGAAGCTCTAGAAGGGCAGAAACTCAGCGCANAAGGCGAAATTATGATTTACCTTTTGAAGCGTGAACAACATGAACAAAGATTGACACAAATTGAATAGCTGGCTCGATGAACCTCACGATATTCTATCATATGTTTTTTTCACGCCAAAATTTGAATTGAATATGGACTACAATCCTTTGAATTTTCTTGGCCCTTTGATACGAATCCATTTGATTGCACCATATAGATGCACTATTAAGATTCCCGCTAAGCAATGCTGTCTTGACATCCATTTGAAAAATCTTGTAATCGAGATGAGGTGCAATGGATAAGAGAATCCAAATCGACTTTAGCATAGCTACCGATGAAAAAGTCTCCTCATAATCGATTCTCTCTTTCTAAGTAAACCCTTTTGCAACAATCTTAACTTAAAGGTTTCCACCTTACCATCTGATCCTCCCTTTCTCTTATAGACCCATTTGCATCCAATGAGTTTTATCCCATTGGGTGGTTCTACAAGTTCCCAAACTTGATTGGAGTACATGGACTCCATCTCAGACATCATAGCCTTTTGCCAAAGTTCTACATCTTTATCTTGGAGTGTTTCGTTGTAGGTCTAGGGTTTGACATTTTTTTCCTCAGAGATATTGTCAAAAGAATCTCCTAAAAACATATACCGTTGAGTTAACGAATAACCCTCCCACTATAGTGAGGCACTACCTATATTTGTGTATCATTAGTGACATGTTTTGCAACATTCTTATCTGACTATTATGGTACCTAATGAGTGAGTTTTATACGTACGAATTGAGTATTCTTGGCTTGATGAAATTACAAGTTTCCAAATACTTATGTTCCTTTTTATTTGTTTTGTGTGTTTTAATGTTGTTTTGTAGGGATCAGGATTTGGAAGGAAGTAAGGTCATTTGGCAGCCTAAGTTTTGGATTAATTACGAACTGAGCAACAAAGGCAGCCATGCGCATAAAAGGGAATCAGCGTTGAAGCTCTAGAAGGGCAGAAACTCAGCGCAGCTATGCTGATTTGCGGGGCTACAGCGCAGGTTTTAGCATGGAAGACGAATTCTAGCATGTTTTTTTTAGTAGAAATTAAACTCTCAGGCTATATATATATATATACTTTTAAGGAGGGCTACTAACATATAAGAAAGACCAAGGATTGATAGTAAATTGAAGGCAAGGACGAAGTAAGCAACACGAAGGAGATCAAAATTGGAGGCAAGAGAGAGATTGAAGATTGCAACACAGTATTGAATTGATAGAAATTTAGTACTTAGAAATTATTAGTAATAATTCTCTATAGAAACAATACTCTACTCATCATTTTATTACTTGTTGATCGTGTATACCTACACATAAATTGTCAATATCAAATTCGGATAACAAGTTTTTGGCACCATTGCAGGAGAGTTATTATAGTAATTATTTTAATATTAATTTCAATCAATTTGATCTTAGTTTAAACATATTTAATTTGATCTAAAGGCCAGGAGCTACTGACTGGATTCGAAATGTGTACACCCAAGTGTAGGTGGTCAAGTGGTAGTAATAATCTGGTTAAGTCCAGAGTTGAATCCACAGGGAACTATTATTGGTGTTTTGAAGTAAACAACAACAGAGACCAAGTGACTGGAATTCTTGAGATTTAAAGTTAATAGATTTCCTGGACAGAATATAAGATTCTTTCCAAGTGAATTTTCTAGACAAAATATAATAAGTTATCAAATGTAAAAGTCACCCTTTAGCTCGAGGATCTGAACATGTAGTTAATCATCCGGTTGTTATGTTTGTGCTTGGGAGCTCAATTAACCCCTATGTCAACATGAAGTTAATTGAAAGATAAGGATGGTTTATTAGAATTAAGAGCATGGTTCCGTTGTCTTTGTAGAGGTTTACAAGAATTGTTTGTGCCAAGACTCAACCTGTCTACAAACAAGCAAGTGTTTCTACAAGGCACCAAACCATTGCATTAGTATTCCATTCTTTAACTGAAGCACAATAATGGTGAAGATTGAAATGTAGTCATGAAGATCTAGTTGGGGAACTTGCCTAGAACCAATGAGTCTTTCTATGCCAAGAGTCATATATGTCATATAAAGTACTCACGGTTGTACAAAGTATCTTAGCTTTGTTAGATGCATTCAATCATTCAATAAGCAAGTGAAATATAAAGCATTAAGCATAAACAAAATGCACAAATATAACTTCTAGATGATTTATACATGTCCATCACCTTTTACTAAAGTGTGATTGAGAAAATACTCACTCTTCATGGCTTTGGTAAAACTAGAAAAGTGAGTGACACTTATCCCTCCCAATAGAGGAGTTACAAGGTAAAACACACTACACAAGGAGCCGATCTTCGATGAAGAATGAGTGAATCATGTTCCACCCTTCACGGCTTTGGTAAAGCTCTAAAAAAGTGGAAGAGTTTCACTCCTTTAAGGGAAGAAGGAAGCTCAAACAATGGAAGTAAATGATATTAATAATGAAAGTAAAAGAGAGCTAGTCACTTTTGAAGGGTTTCTTCTTCAACCAAAAGATGATCTATCTCCTTCTATCTTTCTCTATGTATGACTATGAATGTAAGTCTAAGTCTAATCCCAACTCCTAAATTCTACTCTCTTTTTGAAGCTCCCATAGTGTGAGTTTTTATAGGCAAGTAGGAGGGGGCAAATAAGTGTGAAAGAATAGTACAAGGTCTTCAAAGCCCAAGTGAAAACCCCAAGGTCTAGATGGAAACTCAACCACTCTACAACCTATCTGGGGATAACGTTTGAACTTTAGATGGCGTTCAAACATTGTCTCCTGTCTTCCTTGATGGGCGTTCGAGTGCTAGATGGGGTTTGAACTTCCCACTCAAGTGGCCTTTGTTCTTATGTGAGAGTAACTTCCACACTCTGCATGCCATAACACTCTTGCAAGGGGTCCACAATTAATTCAGGCCAACGTTCAAATGTGGATTAGCATTTGAATGTGGTACTCAAGTACCTCTTTGTTTTTCTTCTTTGCTACNAGAATCAAGCTCCACCATAGCAGGAAAAGAAGTCCAATTTGGAGGATTTACTTTCCAGGTATATAGCACAGAATGAGACAAGAATGAACAGTTAGGAAGTATCAATCCAAAACCTGGAAAATCAAATGGGTCA